ATATTTTGAGAAGGACCTGTAGAAGAGGTCTGCTCAATGTGCTGAGGCAGGTCATTCCAGAGCTTTGGAGGTGCAAGTGGGCCAGGTTATCCTCAGCTATTTATGTAGTTATGCTGCTATAGGATTAGGCTGCAAAACTGAATCTTCCTCAATCAATGTTAAAACTAAACCAGCCTGGACTTTGTTCATCAGTGTCCAAAATTAATATTGTGGCTTAAGGCTCCAAGAGTCACACTGAGCTCTGTTCTGTTTATCCTCTCGTTTGTCGTCGCACGTTTGCACAAATCAGTTGAATTTGACTGTGTCTAACTGGGTGTGAATGTGAAAATGTAAAAGAATGAACTGAAATAAATTAGGAGCAAACTGGATTCTTTATGTTTAGATATGAACTGGATCTGCTTATCTTTTGTAATATCATCAGTTAGTCCTACATAAACAAACTGAATTCAAGTTTATAATTCACATATTTTGAGTGGAATAAACAATGATTAAGTCTCAAAACATTTAAATTCATTTACAACTAAATGTGATTCTAGATATGAAGAAATAACCTATGGAAGAAAATGTAACCAGTTTGTATGAAAAATTAATTCTTTGTCTAATTTAAAGAAGTCATATAATGAATGTGTTCATTTAATAGTCTGCACTTGCATAAGAGTTTTAAAAAAGTTAGGGAGAAATGTACATCAGATGAAACAGACACTGATATGTGAGGGTGTTTAATTTTGGCCCCCATAAGGGCTCCTGGGGTTTCCAAGGACTTGAACGCCTCCTCATCCAGGACCTCTGATCAGCATCAGTCATCAGCCTCAGAATCAGAGCAGAGCTGTGAATTAGTGAAACTGTAATGAGGCTCAAATTGTTCCTGTTCAAACTAAAAGGCTTCAGAGAGAGGGACATGAAAGGCCCAGCAGATAAGGACTGAGAATCAAAAGCCTGCAGACTTCATGCTGATACGAAACAAACTTTCTGCTCAGTTAGGAATCAGCAGGATTGCATAAGAACCACCTCAGAGTATGTCTAGTTGCTGATCCAGGATCAGCGGCTTTACGCTTGCGGCTGTCAGAGGTTTCAGACGCTGCGTTAAGCTTCAAATCACTGAACAAACATTTTTCCTCCCAAATTTACAGGATTCAGAGGCTTATGAGCTCAGAAGTTCCTCAAATACTGCTGCTGACCATGGATCATCTCTACAGTCACTTAGCCAGGGATACAGACTGAAAAAGGCTCACTTATAAATAAGACATGCTGGGCTCTGTACGGCTCTCAGCTTCAACACAGTCGAGTTGATATGTTACGTTTATGCTGCATCAATCATTTCTAAACTCTTCCCCCTTTTATGCGACACGTCTCCGGTTCCACTGAAGGAAGATATCAGTTATCAGAAGCTGCAATATCAAAAACTCCTCTAAAGCACATTTAGACTTAACTTGCATTCATTTTCTGGAGTTCAAACTCGCTGTTATGGAAGAAAAGAGAATCTGGAGACTCTGAATTACAGTGAAGCATCATATTAATGTAAACTGAAACAGGCTGGAGGTCCATTTGACTGTTATTGTGTGCATGACAGCGTAGGGATTCAATTTACCCCAAGCTGCTGTTTAAGGCTGGACATTTATTTTTAGAACTTTACCTTTAAAAACCTGTTACAGCATCATGTTTAAAATGTTAACACATCACAGCCCTGTTCTGATTTTATTTAGTCATTTATCATTTGACACAAACTGTATTATAGTGTTGGTACTGCACTGCTCTATACTGCCACCTGCTGGATCTTAGGACCATTGCAGGCTTCTAAATGAAAACAGATCTGACTGATTCAATGACCTTGTACACTCACCGGCCACTTTATTAGGTACACCTGTCCAACTGCTCGTTAAAACTTAA